TCGTCAAGTGCTAGAAACTTAGGTGTCTGTTTGATTCGCAGCTGTCTATGGAAACACACATTTCTACTATTTGTAGATCTGGATATTCCCATCTAAGAAATATTAATCGTATTCGTAAATCATTATCCCAATCTGATACTGAAAAGTTGGTACATGCTTTCATATCTTCTCGCTTAGACAGCTGTAATTCACTATTGTCTGGTCTCCCTGTAACTAAGATAAAACCTCTTATTCGTGTACAAAATGCAGCAGCCCGCCTTGTCACTCGTGCTCGAAAATATGACCACATTACAGACATTTTTATTAAACTTCATTGGTTACCAGTTGTACAAAGAATCAATTTCAAATTACTTTTACTAGTGTATAAATCTTTGTATGGTTTTGCCCCAAATTATCTATGTGAATTAATCGAATTTTATGTACCGAGTCGTAGTTTAAGATCTGAATCGAAGTTTCTTATTAAAACTCGTCAGATGTGTAGTAAAAAGTCCAAGGTGTTATACAAAGACCGTGCTTTTGAAAATTTAGGTCCTAAACTTTTTAATGAATTACCTCTGTCTGTTCGTTCTAGTCCTTCAGTAGACATTTTTAAATCCAGACTGAAAACGCACTTATTTAAATGTGCTTTTAATATTTGACTGATTGTTTATTGTATCAGCGCCTTTGATCTTCATATGTTGGAATTGTTGCGCTTAATTAAATAGAGTTATTATTATTATTATTATTATGGTTGCCACTGCATCATAAATATTCATAAAGTCCTTTAGCATTTGTTTGTGCCCACTGTATCATAATTATTCATGATGTTATTACCTTTTATAGTTACCACTGCATCATGACTATTCATAAAGTCCTTTAGCATTTGTTTGTGACCACTGTATCATGAATATTCATGTCATTACCTTTTATGGTTGCCACTGCATCATAAATATTCATAAAGTCCTTTAGCATTTGTTTGTGCCCACTGTATTATAATTATTCATGATGTCATTACCTTTTATGGTTACCACACTACATCATGAATATTCATAAGGTCCTTTAGCATTTGTTTGTGCCCACTGTATCATGAATATTCGTGATGTCATTACCTTTTATAGTTACCACTACGTTATGAATATTCATAAAGTCCTTTATCATTTGTTTGTGCCCACTGTATCATGAATATTCGTGATGTCATTACTTTTTATGGTTACCACTACATCATGAATATTCATAAGGTTCTTTATCATTTGTTTGTGACTACTGTATCATGAATATTCGTGATGTCATTACCTTTTATAGTTACCACTACATCATGAATATTCATAAGGTCCTTTAGCATTTGTTTGTGCTCACTGTATCATAATTATTCATGATGTCATTACCTTTTATAGTTACCACTACATCATGAATATTCATGAGGTTCTTTATCATTTGTTTGTGACCACTGTATCATAAT